CATATTTTAATAGCGATGGTTTCCTAACCCTACTGTTTACAACGTGGTCTGCTACAGAACAGAGGCTCTTAAATGCAAAGGATGAAGGACGAGCGGGCGTCTGAAGGTATTTAGCAATCAGAACTGAGGCAGAATTCATCCAATCCCTATTTAAGGTTAGATTAGATTAGGATTAATCAAATCCAGTATTTACATTTAAGAAGTGATTCCTTAATCGGTAAGCCAAAAGATATGCTTCTGTCACATGAAACACACAGGGCACTTGCATTTTATGTAAATTTAAAACAGTAATGCTAGAATATGAACTATTTATAACCTCTCACTTTATGTAAGAAATCTGAAATAATGCAGAAAACGTTAAAACATCGTGAATGACAATGTGTTGGGCCAAGTAGCCGTAACCTGTGTTCAAGCCATCGCTGCACACTTCCAGCTGGTCACACAGAGATGAGTGTCTTCCCTCCTCTCTGAACCCCATGGGGCCTTCAAACACAGCCCTCTTGTGCAGGGTGACCACCCTGTGCTGCTTGCTGTTAACTTAGGTTGAAAAACATGTTTCGCCCCCTAAAAAGAAACTCGTTCTAAATCATGCAGATTTAACGGGAAGAAACTCAGTTAGGTCTGTGGGAAAGTCTGTCAGCAGCTTTATTTCCCAGGCCATCTGACTCTGCCATGCAGTATTTTCTTAGTTCTTGCGTTGAACCTCCAGCTCTCCCTTGTTCACCTAGCACATTTTAAAAATAGACAGGAAAAATCATTTTTAGCACTGGGTGTTCTAACTAGTACAGAAGAGTATATCTCCTTTTAAACTAAATTTATAGCAGTTCAAATAGTTTGGGAAGTAAAGGTGACCCCAAGCAGAGCAGTATTGTACATATTTATCATTTCTGTATTAAAATTCAAGAGATATACATGAAGGCTAATTTCAGCACCAAAATTATTTGTTTAATGTTCATTTTTAGTAATTTCAATGATAGTATTAGCTTTAAAAACTGATTAAATTAATAATAATAATAATAATAAACTTTTAATAGTTTTCTCAAATAACACTCCTGGCAGAAATGAATTCTATGGTATTGAGTTTCAAAGTACAAAGGAAAGAACAGAGTTTTAGGAAAATGCCGGTCTATTTCAATTAAAAAATAAAAAAATCCCCGTAGTGTGATTTCCCCCTTACTTGTCACGTTTTGAACGGTCTGAACCCGAATGTGCTCTGTAGTGTTACATTAGGAAATTCCATACATTTGCTTCCTTATTCTTCAAGATTAATCATCAGGCCTCTGAAGAGCCCGAGCATTCCTGTGTGCATTTAAACTGGAGGCTCTCAGAAGTCATTTTGGAAGTCTGCGTGACATACCTGCTTTTCTGTCCTTTACGTTACCAAGCTAAAGCAGGTAGGGGGAAGGAACCCTTAGACAAACTAGATTTCCACGGGCAAGTTCGTTAGCCTGCTGGATCTGGGTCTACCAGAGAACTGCGGCACCATTTAAAGCCTTGGTCCCGCACGTCCGTGTCCCTGGGAGCTTGTTAGAAATGCAGATTCTCAGGTCCCACCCAGCCCCACTGAATCAGAATCACTCCCCCAGATGACTGGTGGACACACTTAAGTTGGTAAAGAACTGAGCTGAAGAAATCTTGCAGCTAACCCAGAGACTAGGGAAACGAGACTGTGCGAAAACCTTACAAAAAGTGACCGCAGGGAGGAGTCCACATATTTCCTTAGAGCGTTGCATTTTTCTTTTTTTTCCTGCATTGTTTGGAAGAGCCACAGTTGTCTTGGCATGCTTTCGATTTGAGCCATTTTCTGTGCAAAACTTCTGCAAATATAGTGCACCTGTGGAACCCTTAGCATGGTGCCTCGCCCCTTGTAAGTGTGTTTCCTGCTGACACCCTGTTTCTTGTTTTCAGTCCTGACACAGCTGTCCCCGAGGAGCAGCCACACCCCAGCTCCCAGTGCGCCCCTCTCCACTGTCTCTCCAAGCCTCCTCACCCCTAGTCTTCGCTCCCCCCGCCGACGAACACCTGGGGCCATCATTTTGTAGCCACACACAGGATACTGCCCAAGATCCACGGGGTGTTTTCTTCTCGGTGGTTAGATGTTGGATCGGATTAACGTCCATCATTTTGGAAAGATGGGAGAAAGTGGAGAAGATTAACACAAAGCACAGACTCCGGTGTGATGAAACAGTCTATGGTTTCTCTAAGTCCCAGCTACACGTCTGCAATCAAATGGCTTCAGTTCAGTTTAAATCCAAACAAAATGAAATAGGAAATATGTATCTCAGATGGCTGGCTTTTACCTCGATAGCATGAGAGAGACCTAAGACAATGTAAAAATACATATATTGTAAAATCCCCTTTCCTCATCCTTCAAATTCAGCTAGAGGAGTTGATTCTAATATTTTTGGTCATCGCTATTTATTTTGTATTTTATTTGCCACATGATTTATGTCTATAAAAATCATTTCAGTGAGAAGTGAACTTCACTTATTTTTCAAGACACGTATTTTGCTCAGTTAAGTGTGAGTTTTAATTTCATTGGAAATCTGGAATTGGCCCAGGCTGTGGTCATTCTTCCTGCACAAAATGCTAAATGAGGTGCATCGGAATGTTAACCGGAACTGGATTTTGCTGCTACACTGATAGTCATTCTGCACTTACTTTAATCAGTAGCTCATTAACTGCTGGGTTTTTGTTTTTGTTTTTTAAACTAGAATTCTTCACTGGATGTTATTAAGTAAATCTAAAAAAAGAGACTATGTTATGATTCATTGACTTATTCAACTTTTGACGGCATCTTTAATTTTTTTTTTTAATTGCAGACAATTAGTTGCCCTGGTGCTGCTCCTTTGTGTGTGTGTGTGTGTGTGTGTGTGTGTGAGTGTGAGTTGATGTTAAAGAAGGCTAAATAACCTGAAGGGAAAAAACAATGGTGTGTTTATTTAATGACAACAGAATTTTTGTTTACTTTTCCCACATTCAGGGTCCTACTATGAGTCTTTCCTGCTACAAGGTATCAAGTACAAATGAGAAAATATATACATATGTAGTTGTAAGTCAGCCTTTGGTTAATTAATTTATCCAGAAAGTGTTCAAATTTTGATTAATATTGTATGTTTTGTTGTTAGGTTTTTTTGCATAATGAATCCTCCTTGCCAAAAAACAACAGGGGATGAACATTAGCTCACTGTCTACTTTTGACAAACACTCAGGTGCCTACAAGCATTATATTATATTGAGATAATACATGTTCCTAGTTAATTTACAGATTCTGCTGGGTAACTTTGATGACTTAATTTAAGGCAGTGGATTTTCATAGCAAAATTTATTTCGCACATAACCTGACAAACAAGGAAAACAGCTAACTGAGCTGAAAGGTCTAACGCTCTCGGGCTCCTTAACTGTGCTGCCCACACACCTGCTCCTAGCCCTGATTCCTTGTCTAGTCAGGTAGCCTTAACTTGTTTAAAACCAGGACAGTTGACCTTTTCATGTAATGATAACCTGTAACTTCTCTTTGAAACAAACAGTCCTCACTATTAACACAAAAGGTAGTTAACAAGCAGGGCTTGGGGAAGGGTATAGCTCAAGTGGTACAGTGCTTTCTTGGCATCCACAAGGTCCTGGGTTCAATCCCCAGTAACCCCTCTAAAAAATAAATAAGTAAACCTAATTACCTTCCCCCCCCAAAACAAACACACGATGCAGGGCTCTAACAATGGTGGCCTAGGAGGAGCCACTCAGCTTACTGAGCAAAAGCAGGTGGTGCACTAGCGGAGTGGCCCATCCCAGATGGCAGCCCATGGGTAAGTTACCAAGCACAGGGTCGGAGCTCTCATCAGTCACACACCTGTTAGAGGTCACTGTTACCAAAGCAACCAAGAGATTTTTTGAGTTCCTTCTACGAGTGCTATTTTCAACAGTGTCCTTTATTATGCAACTTGGGGTAGTTGGAGATTTTCACCAAGATAGGGATTCAGGTTAAAATACAGAAAATCAAGTCAGATCGCCATCAAGTCCTGATCATGGCAGCCTAACCTTCTGCCCGTTGCCTTGTCTTCCTAGACATTGTCTTCATCTTGTTGGTGGTGTATCTGCCAGCCACCAGCGTCAGTGAGACAGTGTGGGTTTTATTAGAGTTCAGTTAAAGGAAGCTCCGCAACTCGCTTTTTCTTTTCTCTTCTTTTTCAAGCGTCTTGTGTTTGGACCTGAGACGTGGCGTAGCTGCTAAGTTGACTTTTAATAAAACTGTGCCTGAGGGAAAATAATGCCTTTTTGAAAAGTACCTCAGAACATCTTCCCATGTTGCCTCGTCAGTGTCGGTGGTGGTGCAGGGAGGGAGGTTAGCAGAGAGTGTTGCCTGTGTGCGACTCGAGGGCAGTCATGCTCCCTCACTCTGTGTTTACGACCAGCTGAAAAACTGGGTCATAGACAAAACCATTTATTTCTTTCAATAAAAAGTTTATCAGTAAGTCTACTATATACTAGTTTAATTTAAGTTCATTATATTAATAAAGTGGGAAATGCTTGTTTTGAAGTAGTAATTCTATACAAATGTGAAGTTTAGCAAAACTTTGCCAAAAAGATATAAAAACTGGGAAATAAATTTCTAATTTTCAGCACAAAATTAAACAACAGTCCCTAAGCAGTAAGAGAGAATCCCATGTATTTTTATGGTGGCATCATTTCATGTAGTTTAAACTGAGCCGTATCATTTTATTTACAGGCATTTAAAATGAACGAATTTGTGTAGCATTGGTAAAAATCAGTACCTGTAAAGAAGCATTAGGGTTCAAAAAGAAATTGGGAAATTGAAGAACTAGTGGAAATAAAAAAGAATGAACCTCCGTAAGACCAGTTGAAGACAGATTTGGGAAAGAAAAACCAACTATAAAATATAATTAAAATACTGGCTAATTGTTGCAAACCCAGAGGGCAAAGATAAAACGTAGCAAGAAAGAGTGGCTTAGCAAAGTAACCAGGTCGTTTTAAAAGTAAGCACAATTACCATACTGAAAAGAATAGCATGCAGAAATGCTGTCCTGCTGAGGGTTTCTCTTAGTTAAAAAATAAAATAAAAAGGAGCAATAAATCCCCTTTGGTCTGGATGCACAGGGGCATACAGGACCCTCAGGTTAAACTTTCCAGTCAATTCATAATTCATCAGATCCGTTTCTGTATCCAATTCTGTTTCAGTAAGAGGAATTTGGAGAACTTTGAGGAAATAGAAAGTTATAAAATAATTTTTAGAAAGATCTATTTAGCAAGATTATACTTTAGCTTAAAGAAAAAGAGGTACAATAGTGATCTTTGAGAAAAGGAAAGCTAACAAGTGATAGGTGCCAGCTATAGATACTAAGACTAGAATAAGAAAAACAAAGTCTTCAGTGTGAAGGATTTATATTAACTTCGGGAAGGAGATTTTTAACAGTGGGAAATTAATCACTGAAATTAATAATCTTAAGGAAGATTTGTTTTTTAAAAATTAAATACTATTGGTTGTCTAGTACAGATTAAATTATATGGCAAGATATCTTATGATAATGTACTGTAATTCTGGGATTCCATAATTCTATGATTCTTTCACTTTAAATTTCAAAATACATGAAAGGTCTACTGGTTAGTCATAAAATATTTTATCCCTTAAAAATAGGGCAGCAATCTTAATTTTTTCAAGGTATTTGACAAAAAACAAGACAGGATTGCTGGTATTATTTTTTCCTTCCAGCTATAATTCATAACATCTTTAAAGTTGTCCAGAATGTAGCAATTTTACTATAAAAAGCCTCAACTGTCAGAGTCTAAAATGACAAATGTCCTCAGGAATACTTCAGAAATAGAAGGTCTGCAATCCCCCAGGGGGCAAATGCCTCTCAATTTTTATCTTTTCTTAAAAGGATCTTCAATCTACAGTGTTTGCTTTTCTATGCTTTGGAAAATATTCCTGTACAGATAGTCATTCTATTTCAAACAAGCATGTACCACCAGTCAAATAAATCAATTATGAATGTGGACATTTCCTGATGTTCTATATTAAATAAAATCCTCACAATTCTCAAGAGAAAATTACAAAATATGAAAAAGGAAAGAAAATAAGGAAGAAATAAATGAAATGTATTTTCTACTGGGATAAGAACGGCAAATTTAATGTATAATTGTTATCATCCATCAGCCAAAAGACATAATCTGTATCTCAGAAAGACACATCATAGGAAACTAATGGATTTCCAGTAAGAAAGTGTGCTCGTTCAACCCATGGATGCCACAAATGCACTAATATTATAGATACAAAGACTAGATTAAAAAGGAACTCTTAGGATAGACTTCCCAATTTGAAAAATTTGCCCCCTAAGTTTTTTGTTTATTTATAAACCAGAGTGATTTTAAATTGTCCTCGTATTTAAGATTGCAAAAAATTTACAAGTATATGTTTTCAGTAAAGAGAACACAATTCTTCAAAAAGCTGTTCCATTGGGGTTGTGAGAGAGAGCATGATCAGTGCTGATACTGACAACTTTTACCTTAAAATCAATTTCTATGGACATACAAGGCCCATCTAGCTCCCGAGTGACCTTTTCTGTTGTCTGTAATAACGCCCCTAGATGAGCTGTATCTGTAATTTGATTCATCGTTATTTTAGTGCAACGGTAACTGCCATTGGCCCCTGATGTATTATTGCATTTGTATCCTGATCCTGTTATGTTAACTCCTGAAAGATTTCATCTAGACATCTCTCGTGTCCTTCTGACTCAAAGCGTAACTAACAGATACAGTATCAAGCTATGTCCCCCAATCAAGGATTTTCCAGAAATAATATTCTACTTACAAAGAAGAGCAGCAGTTAACTGCCTTTAGAGTAAGGGTGTGAGTGCATAAAATTATGCCGTGTAAAATGTTTGCATGAGATATTGCACATCATGTAAGCTTTCCCATATTCACAATATGAACACTATGGAAAGTCTTATTTCTTTTGTCTCCATTAGGAATGTGAGGAGATTGTTACCTGTATCCGGTCTCCTTTCCGTATTGAAATGCATGGCTCTAATCCTCAGTGTCTTTTTATCCCTTTCCTCTGGAGTTATTTAGAATTTGCCCTATTTAAACCGAAGCCTGGGTAAACTGCTGAGCCAGATTATTTCCATGACTGGAGTTTAATTGCTGTGGAACATCGGTTGAGAGCACATTTTTATTTTAACTTTTTTCCCCCTTCAGAATGATTCTCTGATCATCAGGTTAGCTAATGAATACACTGAGGAGTAAATCTGCTGCTCTTTAGTGTAACTGTTTCCTTTTTTAAAAAGTCATTTTTAAACAAAGATTGGAGAACTATAGAGAAAAATGTTGTCATGTGTTGACCAGTCATTATTCGATGATAATGGAGATACAGAATGAGTCATTTTGTTGTTTGGGTTCAAAGATCTGATTGTGCACCAAATCTCAGAGGAAGTAAATGATTTTAACGTTATTGCCACAAAGTTTTTAGCTCAATGGTTTGACTGTTAGAGTCAATTAAACAGTTCTTTGAAAGTCTTTCATGACATTTTTGTAATCTACTCAGTGTTTTTATTTGCATGATTATGCATATGTGACGAACCATACATAATTCTGACATTGTATTTCTTTCCAGTATTAACATTTGTGTAACATGTGGCTGACCCGGATTTGTACCCTGTATGATTATTGTTGTAATGATCCTGCTATTCCTACATTTCACTGCAATTCTGTTATTATGCCTTTTGGGGTTAAATGTGAAGTGTTTCCACCTAATGCTAACACCATATGAAAACACGACTAAAAGACTGACCTCAGACACTCTTCTGTTGCTAATTATTTTTTAAATCCAAATTTCAAAGGAAACTTGTTCTCAAAGACATACGCATTTATTTTAAATCCAAAAAAGTTCTTTTACGAATTTATTTTTGCTTGTCCTTTTTAACTTTTTTGTTGTTGACAATCCTAAGTGAGTGTCCCATGGGAGAATCCATATAATATGTGCTTGTATTTGTGTAATCTGATCACGCACTCAACGGTTGGAAAAGGCACTACAGTGCTAAGAAAATAAGTGAGGCCAATATATCAATTCTTTTATCTTCGTTTATGTTACCAACTGAATATGGTGTAATGCATAACTCTTTCCAGTAAATAAAATGGTTATCTTTGTTCATTTCATCTACGCTACCTTTTTATCGGTTTGAGCAGTTTTTCTGTATTTCATGTTGATTTGTACTTACACAAAAAGAAAAAAGTTATGAATTTCTATGATTTATATATTTAAAGTGAGCACTTATTCAAACTAAAAACTGAATATTTTGCTTTGACATCTCTACACATTCTTATTAAGAAATGTGTGTCAACTTTGCCCATTTTCTCCATTTATCATTGCTCCTACTTGTAATCTTTTCTAAAGGGTTATTTTGCAGGGAGGATATGCTTAGCTGAATTAGATTAGAAATGTGCCAACAGGAAGGAAATGCCTGTTCTTAAAAAAAGGAAACATTATTTTAATGAAAGAAGAAGGGAAGTTTGTATGCTTTATTTGGGGAGACAGTTCTTTGTTCTCTTTCATATGAAGAAGCAGCAGAGTCCCAAAACTTCGAGGAAGGTTAATTTACTAGCTCCTTCTTCAGGTATGTGTGTTTTAGCAGATCAGCTGCTTGGGGAGTCATCTGCTTTGACCTGATTTTCTTTCTGGAGGCAGGGGAGATGGAGAACCAGAACATGGACTTCAGTGAGGTTCTAATGAGCTGAAACCTCGAAGGCAAACCCCTTTTTAATGAATCAAATTAACCCACCGTGGGCACTGCGACAGCCCCAGCTAAAGTCGCCTGCTTATCTGTTGTATAAACACAACACTAAAATCAATAGCATAAACTTTCCTAAAAATCCCTTTTTTCTCCTCTGAAAGCTGCCGTTTTCCTTTGAGATTATAAGCGTTTGGTCCTTCATCCTCTCATGGGCAATAAAGCTGATAGTTACGTTCAAAAGCTAGAAGAGCTGGACCAGCCTCCAGGAGTGTCCAGGTGTCTTCTCATCCCTATGTCTGGCAGGCAGCCTGGAGAGACACTCTACTGAAGGCACCATGGAGGGGTCCTGTGCCCCCACTGAGAATAAGACAGAGGCCAGAATGGATGAGACCTTGTGGGCAGGATTTGCTTGGTTTTTACTTGTATACACATTGACTAGCACGTTGTAGGCACTCAATAAAGTGGGTTCCTTGGCTCCTTGCCAGCTAGCTTTGCTTTTACAGCATATGTGGATTTGAGTTTATAGAACTTAATGTCACCTACAATCGTATGAGCAGGCACTAAATGCCAACTAATTGGGGGAGATGATCTTTAAGTGAATGGTTATTCTTATTCTCTCTTGGTCAGTCTGAAAAATGGATCTCTAACCTTGCATTTGAAGGAGATTAATGTGTACAATGAAGTAATCTGACTGAGTCCCTTCTTAAACTTGTTATGAATCAACTATCACTTCAAAACTTTACGAAGCAGCTCAGGATAATTCATTTACAATATAACTGTCAAGGAAGATGAATCTCACAGGAAAAAAATATTGCCAGTAGCAGAAGTAAACATAATTTATAATGTGACTTAAATGTAAAAAGCAATGTGAAGATACATAAACCATAGCTATAGTTACATCCTGCTAAGCAGTAAAGAAATGGTTGGTTATAACTGTCGACATAATTTGTGAGACCAGTGCAAAATCAAAATGCAGACCAAAATCTACTTGTTCAAAAATTATTAAGAATTTCAAGACAGTGACAGCAGGACACTAAACTAAACAGGAAGCTAAGCACAGAGCCCTTGTGACCTCAGAAGTCCACACGCCCATGAAGCCAGCCTTGCCCCAGAATGTAGTGAAATAATGACTCAGAGCTCAACACAGTGTATTTATCCAGAATCTGGCTTTCATTTTTAACAGAATAGATTTCCCACTTTCTGTGCTTGGAAGAAAAAATAATGTGTTTTTGTTCTTCAAAGACTTATAAAGTTGAATCTTGCAATGCTCACATATCCCAGTGCAACCATAATTGTCAACTCAAAATTTCTAAACTCTCATATACGTACCATGTTGTGCAGAGATTATCAAAATCATTAAAAGAAATCTTCAAAACATCAGCAGTAGACATTTTAATTCATGTATATTAACGTAAAACTAATTTAAGAACCCTCCTGATACTTTCATAATTTGATTTCCTTTGAAAGTATAAATTATTAATAATGTCAGTCAAATGTCACAGGAAGATTCAGCTCATTTAAAAGACCTATTAGCTCAAGATTAATAGGTAATTCATATCAACTTTTCTTCTGAATAAATCAAAGGGGAAAGAAATTATTTACGTGACTGAAATCTATTGACACTGAAAACAGGGGCACTCGTGTTATAGTAAGCTACCCTGTGTGTAAGAAAGGGAGAAAACCACAATGTACGTATATTTTTTCCTGTTTTTAATAAAGTAACAGTGGAAACCTAGAGAAGTGGTTATCTGTAAAAGAGCGCAGGGGCTGCAGGAAGGAACCGGGGGAAGCCAGATTCCTCAGGAGGCAAATGCCTTGCTATATTGTTTTCTAGTTCCACGTGGAAATACAGTATCTATTCAAAAATTAAAAAATAAATAAAAAGTAAAATAAATAGATGCCCTCAAAATTTTCACAATGAAGTCAGAAATAGAAACTGGCATGAGTCCTAGAGAAATGATTGTTTTAAAGCCGGCTATGTCGGTAGAAGTATTTTTTCAAAGTGAGGAATTTCGTGTGAATTTTAGCTCTGGCACTTAGCAGCTCTGAGGTTTTGTAAAGGTTCTTAACCTCTCCAAGCCTCAATACTGTTATCATCTTAAAAATGAGGGAGCAGTGGGCTGCACCTGGCAGTCCCGGGCTGGTGCCCCCATCCCAGGTGACCCTGTCCCCAGCAGCGGGGGTAGGATGGCGCTGAAGCAGATCCAGAGGAATTAACCTGACTTGCAAAGGGACCCTCCCGCCCCATGCTCCGCAGGACCAGTGGGAGATGATTAAGGAGAGTCCTTACTAAGGGAGTGTTTTCTTCCTGACCATCCACTTTCCTTCAGATTATCCTTTCAGGCCCCCAAAAGTTGCTTTCACAGCCAGAATTTATCACCCCAACATCAACAGCAGTGGCAGCGTCTGCCACGACACGCTGCAGTCCCCGTGGCCTCCATCACCGACAATGTCTCAAGTGCTCTGATCATCTGTTCCCAACCCTGACGACCCTCCAGTGCCAGAAGCAGGCCACACTCACAGAGAAGTACAAGAGACAGCGAGAGGGTGCACACGAAAATGCGCTGTAATTCAAAGGCAGAGCGGGCAGGCTGTCCTCACCTCCCGTCTGCCGCAAGCCACGTCCCGGAGAGTCAGCTCATCCCAGGAGGCTCCTGGGAATTGGGAACAGTGTCACTGGGAAATGGAGGCCTTGCCCCATGGGTCCCACCAGTGCCACACGCTGGCGCTGTCCCCTCACACCGAGAAGCAGCAAACAGAATGTTGGGACATTAAGAACACAACACTCCAGGAGAGATAACTGTCCTTTTTGAAGCAAGAGCAAAATTGTGAAACCTGGAAAGAATTGAGTTCTGCTTTTCTATGTGATGAAGTTTTTCACCACCCCTACCCCTTCTCACTCAGAGGCTCGCGAAGTCCAAGTGTGAGCCATTCATCCACCAGAATGCAGGGAGAGACAGAGGGACTTTTAAATGTAAATAAAAATGTAATTCACTCATTAAAAAAAAAATGAGGGTCAAAATGCCCACCTGGCAAGGTTATTGCCAAGATTAAGTTAAATAGCATCCATGAAATCTTCCAAACTGTTCCTAGGCTTCAGTAGCTAATGTTATTTCCAATAACTCAGTGTCTGGGCTATTGGAGTCCTATATGAATGGAGTTCATTCATTCACTTGTACATGCATTAATTCAGCAAATACTCATCAAGAACCTATTTCATGTTAGATACTGCTCTAGGGGCTTGCCATACGTCAGAGAATAAAACAAAGAAGGTTCACGCCTTTTTAAAGTTTGTGTCATATGTACAGCATTCATGAGGGAAACATATGAAAACCAGAGAGCATGATAAATATGGAAATGTCAAAGCATGTCAGTGAAACTTATGGAAAAATTCAAAAAGTGGAACAGGGAAAGGAAGTTGTGCCGGGCTGAGTGGGGAAGAGGTGAAGCAGATTGTAGTATTAAATGGGGTGGTCAGTTGGATCTTGTTAAAAAGAAGAATAAATAAGATAAAAATCATCCTGTTTACATCATGATTGTTTCAGTTTTCAAATTACTAAATTACATAGTTTGTTCAAATTTTTAGAAGTTGTTATTCATCTAAAAATATCAAACAGCAATGTACATTAGGCAACAAGCATTTTCCAAAACTAGTCTTTTAAAAGGTTATAATAATTTGGAGTTAACAGTACAACAATATGCGTATGTTGTATTAAATAATAATTAAGTAATTCAAAATTAGTTATAAAATATATGACTATATACTTTTCAATATATAGTCAGAGAGTAAGCTAAGCTTTCTTCTAGTCCTTAATTCCAACTGTCTCCTCCTTGACTGACCCTTTCATCCAAATTTTCTGTAAAATTAAGGGCATCTTTTAAAATATGTTCTCACGGACTTTCTTCCTTAATACAAAGGTGAGAAGAGAATGATCACATTGCTCAGCTTTGCGCTAGCTTGCTGCTGAGTGTTACCATTTTTTTAGATTTGTATAGATCCAGACTTCAAACTTGGCTATTTCAGTAGAACTGACAGAAAGTAATATATATTTAAAGCTCGGCTTTCTCTCATGAATAGTTGCCCTAATTCTGGGTCACCTTATCAGAAAATAAAAGGCGCATTACTGAATGTATTTATGTAACATGGGTAAAGCCTCATCAAATTACATGCCTAGGTGAGTATGCATACTTAACAAATTTCAAAGATGGAAATACAATCCAACTGGTGAAAATATTACCTATTAAAAGTCTGTTTATTATCTCCTATGAAGAGTTCTTTCATGTCACTTCTTTCCAGCAGATGCAAACATTAAGCTAACTTGAATTTGGGTATCATTATGATAATATGATTTTAATTATATACACCAAACCAGCCAAAGGTCATCTTTTTAAAAGTGTGCATTATCTGGAAATGGGCTGTTCTTT